TTTTTCAAAAATTAGCTGCCAATCTACACATTTTCATGATTACTCCACAGAGTACCGCTGGTGCAAATAACAACGCAAAACAAGATTTAAAAAGGAAAACAGGGAATCACATTTGGCATTCACACCAGCCTACCCCATATTTAACTGAGCCACAGAGAACTCTGCTGGTTTGTTCCACTGTGAACCTTTCTGAGGGCAAACTAGCTCAGATATGCAATTCTGTCCCTGCACGTCTTCTACGGGTAGGAACTGATATGCAAAAGAGGAAGGGTCAAAGGGAACCGAGGAAGCCTTTTAAAAATACAGCTAAAAACCGTGTTGTTTTAGAACATTTTTACTAAAGAAGTAATTTACACCAAAGGAAAAGAACTGCAAGGATATTTTTAAAGGCCATAATGGAGCCACCTGTCTCAAAGTGAGATATAAAAAAGATGTTAAATCTGGCAATAGAAATTAAAAAAAATAATAAGAGAACGTGGAGTGTGGACAGTTCTCTGGTTCACAGATTTGCTATCACAACATGTCCAGTCGTGGGCTTCAAGTGGCCTGTGAATGTCCTGATATTACAAGTAAATCATGTTATGGACACTCTCATATGTGGCATACGTGTAAGAGGAGAGAGTTGCTAGTTAAGACCTTCTAAACTACTCTACCCTTGGCCCTCAAACTATTAACAGTAAGAGTGATCATTTAATGAGCAATCATCGGAAAGGCATTCATATTCAGGATTTACACATGCTTTTATAGGACTTTTTCCTGATTCTGACCATCAACATAGGCCACTTCCTAAGTAACTTCCTGAAATATAAATGACTTTTTACATTTCATAACTTGAGTAAAAAAAAAAAACCTAAGTTTAGAATCACTTTTTCTACCCTCTTACTGATTTTAGAAGACTCTCACACATGGCCAGAAGCTGTAATGCAACAAAAATGAGACTTATACCTAAAAAATAGACATACAGAAACTGTTCCCAAAATAATGATTTATGAAAGATATTCCAAAAGGGCTGATGTTCTGTAATTTATTATTATAAAGTGAGGAACATTTGCTGTGTTCTGAGTACCTTCAAAGAATTTTTTTTTCAC